TTCATCCATCATCCTTTTGTCAGACTCAAACGTCAAATCACATCACTCATTTCTATCACATATTTAATCATTTATATATTTTCTCTCTAAAAATATCACACTACTTATTTTTATCATATATTTAATCATTTAATATTTAATTAATTTGTAGTTAATATATTTTTTAAAAATTTAATATAGTGGGATCAATTTTTTTGACACTCGAATTTTATATTTTATCGTGTCTTCAGACACGGGTTATGACTAGTATATGTATATATCAAAAGATATATTTATATAATAAAACACATCGGAAGTTGAATTTTATCCTTTATACATTTATCTTCCCCCCAAAACCATTACATCATTCATTTATATCATATGTTCAATTATTTAATATTTGATTACTTTGTAGTTTAAAATAATTTTTATTTCAGATATTATCTATATACGATACTATGCATATGTTCAAAAATTTTTATCGAATTACGTATTTTCAAATTTTTTTGTCAATATTTTAAATAAAATAATAGGTAAAAATAAATTTCGAATGATGTAATCAAAGAAATAAAAGAAACAAAAATTATTATTTGCTATAGGGAGAATTACATCCAGACCCCTTAATCGCTCAAACCCCTGACATTTGATATATTACACATAGACCTTCTAAAGTTTGTACGCGTATAACACTTAGACCCTTGATATAAATATATCTGTTAATAAATTACACTTAAACTCCTCTGAAGTTTGTAGGTAGATAATACTTAGACCCTTTAAGTTTAAAAAATTATACTTAGATCAAAAATAGAATTTAAAATATTGTAAATTTTACGATCAAAATTCATGTTTTATTGTATTATTTACTGAAATAAAATTAAAATTAAAATTAAAATTTAATTTTTTCTTAAAAATCGTAAAAGTTAATAGAATTGAAGTATGCGAAAAGATTTTCAGAATTTGTACGTTAATTATTTAAAGATTAAAACTCATACGTTACACCATGTTCAATGGAAGCAATTAACTTGCCCCATTTTGTCACACTTTGGGGGCACAAATTTGAGATTGATAGAAGATTAAGTGTGCATAATTAAATAAATGTTAATAGAACGAACTTAGGTACGAAAAGATTTTCAGAATTTGTACATTACTTATTTAAAGATTAAAAATCATACGTTACACCATGATAAATGGAAGCAATTATCATGCCCCTTTCAAAACACGTTGGGACATAAATTTGAGAAGGGGGAGGGGGCAGAAAAGATCACATTGCTTTCATTTTAGAAATTTTTTGTACAATTTGGGACTTCTAATCTTTAAGGGATTACTTTAACAAATTTCAGAACTATAGTAGAAATAAAGTAAACGACAACACTTACCCAAAAAAAAAAGTTAAATGGTATTTTTAAGGGGTGGTGAACAAACAGAATTAGCAAATTGTTGATTTCCTGTTTGTCAATAGTGTCCAGCTCCTCTGCAATGAGTTTTAGGAAAAAGGGGGACAAGGGCGATAGTTCAAAAACCATCTCGATAGGTCTTTACTGATAAAATTATGAGATTTATGATCGCATCTTCGATGAAACCCTAACTATTCCCCAATTTTCTGTTCTTTCTTGCTCTTTGGAATAATTTACTCGACTAACAATTCAAGTTGGATGAAATAACTCTGAAGAATTAATGAAGGTTATTAAGGTAATTTGACAACTATCATTTATGTCGTCATCTATGCATATTAATCTACTAGTCATAATCCGTATCTACAGGCACGATGAAACATAAAATTTGAGCGTCCAAAAGTTTCTATCTCATTATATTAAATAATAATTTTTCTTTATTTCATTTATTTGATTATATTATTTAAAATTTATGTTTGTCCATTATTTTGTTGAAAATATTGACAATTTTTTTTCAAAATATGTAACTTGACAAATTTTTCTCAACATATATATACTATAGTGTATCAATAATATTTGAAATAAAACACTTATTAAATTATAAATTAATTAAATATTAAAATAATTGGACATATGATAATTTTGTTTTTTTAGGGGGAAAGAGAATATGTGAGGGATAAAATTCAATTTGTGAGCTATTTTATTATATAGATGTAGAACATGAAAATTATGTGCAATTTTGATACCATAGGGAGATAATCTGCAAAATAAGTAAACCACACAGAGGTAAGATGAAATTTGCCCAAAAAATTAATCAGTTCATTATTGCTTCTGATGATGCACAAATGCGAATTTATGTTCCATCAAATCAGTCGAGTATGTGTTACAGAGCAATTAATGAAACAGTTAATAATAAAAGACAAATATTAGGTGGTTTGGTGTGGGGACCTAACCACTGAAGACAACAACGACAACTATAGAACTTTATAAATGAGATAGTACAAGGTAGTGGGGGAGAGAGAGAGAGAGAGAGCGTGCAATGGTACGCTCAAGGTGAGGTGTGTGAGATCCCTCTTTATATGTAGGGAGTTTATAATTTATAGGCACAAAATCCTAGTTGAGGCAGTGTCGTGAATGTCAAGGTACTAGTTTACCGGGGAAGACAACTACAATTGGGAATTGACATTATCTTGGAGTCATGACTATCCTAATGATTGTTTTCTCACGTGCGTTGACTCTTCTTGGACTCTTAAGCTCTAAACTGGACTTAGGTCATGAACTAAACCTAGTCTGTCTTTTGATGGTTTGGGCTTAACTCAGAAATTGGGCACAAGTTTAGTCTGAATTTGGGTTTGTCAGCTTCTATGTGAAGAAATTTAACGTTTATTCAAATCTTAACTTAAATTTAAATTTAAGTAAAAATATGGTAAAAATAAATTCCAATCTTTTATTTAAGGGTTAATCTCAAATTATATCTCGAAAGATTATTCGAATCTCAATTTACACCTCTAAAAATAAAAAATTTCAATTTACACCCTCAAATATAGAATTTGTATTAATGCGCACCTCAAGCTAGCAACCCATCAGTTTGTCGTCTAAAACTAAATGGATAAATTATATCCAGACCTTCTCATATTTATTACTTAATCATCTAGACTCCTCACATTTGAAATATTATACTTACATCCCTTGAGAATCCAAATATGACTAAAAAAGTTCCCCCAATTGGGCATTCAAATAATTTTGTTTAAGTGATGTATTGCATTAGATATAAAGAATATTTTATAACTATCTACATTATATTGACATTCAAATGGTAAACTTGATTTTAAAATTTAAAGTATAATTGGTCTACAAAATAAAGTGTAGTATGAAATTATAATTTTTTATTAGGAAGAAATCATATTTTTTTACAATTATACTATTACTAACAAATATCAACAACAAGGGGTTATGTGTTATACGTGCACAAACGTCAAGAAGTATAAAAGTAATATTCTAAATGTGAGGAGTCCAAATGATTAAGTGATAAACATAAGAGATTTAGGTATAATTTATCTAATTAGTTTTAGATAGCAAATTGATGGTTATTAGTTTTAAGTGTACATTGATACAAATTTCTATCTTTGAGCGTGCAAATTAAAATTATTGATCTTTGAAGGTACAAATTGAGATTCAAACGATCTTTTAGGGTGTAATTTGTAATTAATATTTTATTTAAACTCATACTAAATGAAGATAAACTCATTAAGGAAAATTTAAATCTTTATTCAAAATTTTAATGGTCAAATTTCATTTTTTTAAAAAAATTCAATAATCATATTTCACCCTTCTTTAAATTTAGATTTGTGTTTCTTTAAATGTGAATTTATCTATTGAAGCGTTTTGTATTAAATACAAATATTGTTCATGTCGACCCAAATTTGAATCAATGTTGGAGTAAAAAATTTTGCATTGACTCAAATTTCAAAATCTTTTTTGGAATAAACTTGACTCAAATTCGGAGCTTATATTGAATTGGTCAAATTTCAAAATCTTTTCAGGAATAAACTTTGGGGACATGAATCAAGTAAAGTAATAAGAAAAGTTAAAAAAAATGTAGTTTTGTCATTAGAATAGGTAGGGTTGGAAGTAAGATACTTCCTCATGAATATATGCAACAGTTTGGAAGACAAAGGGTAAAGGGGTGTAATCAATTCAGAATAGAAGCAAAAGCAAGTGTTTATTTATCTTTAACCCTAACAGGAGAAAAGAATGGTATTCTTATTATAGTGTGAGAGTTGTATTGCTTTTTCTACTAAGTAAACTAATGGATCCCCTATTCCAATAGCTATTGCTTTAGTTTGTTTGAGTAGTTAATGAGGTTCTCATCTATAGTGTATTGATATGACAAGTCTCTTTAATCATTTAGTGATTTCTGTATTATTTTCTTTTACAATTAGACTAGATATATCGTTGTACATAAAAAAAATATAAAAATTACCCTTTTTGGTTCTTGATGCTTCTTTGCATTTAAATACTTTTCCTTCTCCATGGTTGGGAGAGCTTCAAGCAAAGAATCCCATGATAGAGAATTAGATTCCTCCATATTCATCTATTTTGTTGGAGAAAGTGGCTTAAGTAGGACATCTACTGGCTGATTATCAGATAAAACAACTCTGGACTCAAATTCACTTCATCACTAAATTCCCTCAATGCTAGTCATCTACATGAATCCTATCGGGACCAACTTTACGAGTGGGTCTCTCACTAAGATATGGTGGGTGATCTAGCATCGAAGGAATTAAGGAAGATACAGAGGAGAGAATCCTAACCGAACAAAGCTCTTCAAGAGTGTTCTGAAACCATTTTCTTAATTGTCGCAAAAGAAAGCAAGTAGCATTTCCACCATAATACCAATACTTCAAGTAGTCCATGTTACCTCAGTGGTAGCAGCAGCCATGGAGAGGTACTCTGTTTCTAAGCAACAATGGGCTACTTCTTTGGAAGTCTGTAACATCAAATTTGATCCCAAAAAACTGTTGTATCCAAAACTTAAGTATAGAGTAATAGGACAATCAGTCCAGTGTGCATCTCAAGATGAAGACATATCAAGATAACGCCATATCGAACAGTAGTAGCATGCACGTACTCTCACACATATTTCATTGTACACAACTGATATGATCTTGTAGAAATGCCCCAGCCACAACACCGATTAAATGTAGGAATGTGACAGATCAAAGGAGAAGGATTGGGTGAACATTGTGGCTATGATTGTGGAATAAACTTGCAGGCCATATAAAGCACAAGATAGCTTACACCATAATGGGGGTATTGTGCATCAACAAAGAGACTATTTGCTGAACAACCAAGTTATAAAACAAATGGCAACAGATTTTCTCTTGCTCAAACATTCTATCCCCATACACCCCTATCAGTTTTCACACAAAAGATGTACAATCTTTCTCACAAGTCCCTACCTCAGAAATATTAGCTCATATTACTCCTATGGAATTTGCATTTATTCAGTTCTTCTTTTGTTTCAAAAAAACATTGACGATTTTAGCTTCTACTTTCTGAATTTGGATCTCCAATCTCCGCCTTAGATTCAGGACCCTCTGATTCTGCAGAAACCTTTGCATTCTCAAGCTTTGAAACCCGGAACATCGCTAGATGTGTATCGCCTGGCAACGAGATGATACATTTCAGCAAAATAAGATGGCCACTTTGATTCTTGGCATATATGTAATGTACTTGACTTTTGGAAGAAATAATTTTAGTGTTCACATTAGCACAAATTGCAGTTTAAGCACACTTTAATGTCGTGCATAGATAAATTCGAATAGGTTTGTAATTTTATCTAATCTGGAGAGGCTAAAATGAGGTGCATCAGCATGGCATGGCAATCAAAACTCTCCAATGAACATTACGATGCGCTCAAATCAACTTTGATGATCAAGCTTCAAGCTAACATTTGAAGGACACAAGGTTGCTGCAAGGTTCCTTAGTGTAATGTGCAAATTGTTGAGGAAAAAATACAGAGGAAGTGTTTTTGCACCAAATCACTCCGGTTGTTTAGGCGTAGCTCATGGCAAAAGGGTTTAGTTCCCTTCTAGCATTAGATAATAGGAATGAGGCAAGGTAAATTCTTGTGCATTGTGAGCAGTGTGGGAAATGGGGCAGATACTTGCCCTATAAAGGACAGAGTAATATGTGTAAAGTTGCTAAAATTATCTGGTCAGTTCTAAGTTCTTACCCATTGTAATTCATATTTAATTCACAAAACTAGTAATGTTTTTTTCTTTTATTTTCTCTATAAGTCAAAAAGTTTCTACAAAAGTAGAACATGTTTTGCCTCTTTTGCATCATTGCTATGTCGAGAAAACAGAAGCGAAAAATTAAAATAATGTAATATGTGCACAGTTGCTAAAATTATCTGGCAACTTCTAACCCATTGTAATTCATATCTAATTCACAATAATGTCATAAGCATATATACATCTTCAGCTATTCTAGCATATTCTTTTATTTTTGTCATCTTCAGTTGTCAACCAAGTTTTGCACAATAAAATTGTAGTCCATGCAAGCAATATAAGCCACCCAAAAGCAGAATCTAAAAAGATGGATGGAAATTGGGTTAGAAACATGTTACCAAATGTAATACAAGTTCCAGGTGATGCAGCGGTATCAACACCAGGTCTAAGGCGTCTGTCATCAATGAATGTCCCATTCGTGCTGTCCAAATCTGTGACTAAAAGAATTTCTTCCTTCTTCTGAATGCGGGCATGCATAGCAGATACTGTTTTAAGACGGGGAGAAGTAAAAGGAAATCTATATGAATACATAGGCGAACATGCAAAATCTCAATTCCTGGTCCAGAAGCACTAAATGGACATCTGAGCCTAATAAAAGGTTCGTTTGAACAAATTTATCCTTTACAGTTTTCAGCAAGGAATGGAAAATCAAATGGTATACCACCAACCCATTCTTAGATGTAGGACAGAATTCAGGTCAATAAAAGTACTAGACACTTGTAACCCTCTTGTGTAACTTTTTAACCATTGAACCTAACCAAATGTGCAAAAGTATCCAACGGTTTGAGCACCATTTCTTGACAATGATCTAATATTATGTAGCATGCCTGTAGAAAAGAAGCACATCAAGAATCTATAGTAATGAAGATTTACATACCTGTTGCTACAGGAATGACCAAGTCTGCTTTCTCAGGCACACGCCCAACAGTCACCACACTCTAGAGCATGTAAAAACTTTTGCAGTTAAGAGTAATACATTTTACGGTGTAAGGGAATCAATAATAGGTGGCACAAGAAGTACTTACAGAAGTTATTTCAAATGCATCTGGCATTGGAACTTTAAAACCTATGTGCCTTGAATCACCATCACCTATTCATTATTCATCCATAGAGGTAGATTAACTGTCATCATTACTTAAACAACATAAATAAACGTATTAAGACAATAAGAAAATGAAGGAGTTGCCATTTTGATGATGATAGACCATAGAGTATCATATTATCAGTCTGAGCCAGTAGGATAGAACAATTTTAAAGGGCATTTTCGAATTTGGCCTCCTCAACTATAACCCCTTCACATTATTCCTCAACTATCATGTTTCTGATACAGTACATTCAATTCACGTTTCCCCAATGATAGATGTCTGTTACAGAATGAGACATGAAGTGTGACTTTGTCACTCAATCTAATGTGAGCTTATTTCACTTTGCCGCAAAATTCCATTCAAAACATAACAAAGTTTTGGGTTTAGGACAATAAAAAACCAATTTAAGTAGTTTAAGTGGACAATGTGAGATAGTTGTGAGGGTCAAAGTATAATTCTCCCAACAACAAAACAAAATATGATTGGTGGTGTAGCAGTGTGCAAAATCCAAATTTTGATGGGATTAACATTGCAGGCAGAGATTTCTCCTTTTCTTCTTCCAGTTCATGAACATAATCAATCTCACATGATATCAGCAAGCATATATAAAGCAGAAAGATCGTACTCAATACTCAATCAACTTCTCTACCTATAAAAATTCATGTTTGCTAGAGATTTATCACTTTTGCTCTGTTGGTTACAAAATATGGAAATAAAACCCAAATTTAGAAACAAAGAAATTAAAGAAATTGTTTGTATCTCTGGGTATATTTGATCTACTGACCCACAGGTTCAAGAAGCCATCTTTCTGCATCATTTGTTGAAGTGCTTTCACCACCAGAAGCACGTATAGCTCCAAATTGCCTGTGTAGCCTTCCACTGCGTTTCAGCTTTCTGGGTAAGCAATCAAAACCCAAATAGGTGACAGAATGATAAGCAACAACAGAAGATTTAGAGTGAAAAATGGGAGGAGAGAGAGAAGAAGAGAAGGTTGGAAGCCTTGGAAGGTTGGCATAGGAAAGGGACTGAGTAGCTATTTCCATTTGCCTATTTTGCTCACTCTGTGAGATTGAAGAGGCAGCAGATTTGGTGCCATGGGTTAGTGTGGACGTGGATAAATGGGTATACTTGACAACACAGTGGTGTAGTATGTGGCATATGTTTGATGGTTTGACAAGGATTTTGGTTTGGATAACAAAATCCTGATTTCGGGTAGTTAGTGGCAGTGCTGGTTTGGAGATTGGGGTCTTGACATCATAAAGTCATAACCGGTGTCTGGCCAAAGAATGGATTATGCTGCCATTGGGTTTTACTAATGACCTAGGACATGTCGCGTTCGGACCGTGACAGTTCGAGTTAGCATCGAGATCATACCAATTCAATTTATTTATTAATTGTAGGGTTAATCTCATTTTACACCCCGAAAAATAGTTCGAATCTCAATTTGCACGCTCAAAGAGCAAAAATTTCAATTTGTACCCTCAAAGATAAAAATTTGTATCAATGTGCACCCCTAAAGATCAAAAATCTCAATTTGCACCCTCAAAGATAGAAATTTGTATCAATGTACACCCCAAAAATCAAAAATCTCAATTTGTACCTTCAAAGATAGAAATTTATATCAATGTGCACCCCAAAGATAAAAAATCTCAATTTACACTCTCAAATATAGAAATTTGTATCATTATGCACCTAAAACTAAATTGATAAATTATACCTAGATCCCCTCATGTTTGTCACTTAATCATTTGGACCTCTTTACATTTAGAATATTACTCCTACATCTCATGACATTTATGCACGTACAACATGTAACCCATTTTCATTGATATCTATTAATATAACCGTTAAAAAATATAATTTTATTCTAATAAAAAATTATAATTTCATATTATCCTTATTTTATGAGTCCAATATATTCTAAAGTTCAAAATCAAACTTACCTTTTGAATGTCTAATAAAATGTAAATATTTATATAATGTTTTTCATATTTTCCTTTTTATAAATATCTACATTCTATTAGACATTCAAATGATAAGTTTGATTTTGAACTTTAGAGTATATTGAGGGTAATATGAAATTATAATTTTTTATTAGGATAAAATCATATTTTTTAACAATTATATTAATAGATATCAACGAAAAGTGGTTATGTTTACACATGTACAAACGTCATGAGATGTAGGGGTAATATTCTAAATGTGAAGGGGTTCAAATGATTAAGTGACAAACA